CTGTCTGTCTGTCTGTCTGCATGCAGGCAGGCAGGCAGGCAGGCAGGCATGGATGTATGTATGTATGTGTGCGTGTGTGTATATAGCAGTATGTGTATGTCTTTTCATCTTCCGTCTGGTGGGTAGGAATTCAGAGTTCAATTTACAGATCGTAAGAACAGCCGTGATCACTTTATCCGTGGCTATTTTGGCGATCAACCGATCGGCCCGGATTTTCGATCGTCGGCGTGGGAACAGACTACATCCAATCAGCCATGTCGTTCCCTCCAACTGGTCCATTCTGCAGCTCGGATCAGCAGCAGGTTCCCCAAGTCGGGCTGCCGAAGAGCCTCCAGCAGACACTGTTGGACAGTGGGCGTTTTACATTCCGATCGACAGACGGCTCCCCCAGAGAGCCTCTGGGGACTGGATCGTCGCCGGCGGGGTGGTGATCGAGCAGCTCCGGCACGGGGACGAGCGGCTGATCAGCCCGTTCCAGAATTGTCTGGTCGACGAGATCATGGCCAATGCCGCGGGCTCGATCAGTGTGATCACAGAGCGAGATCCGGCGATGCTGCCGAACTCCGGCTACCACTGCTCCTTGTTCGCGAAGTACCCGCTCGCCGGCATCAAGGCGGTTTCGGTGTTCACCATGTCGTCGAAGACCGGAGGCCCATGTGCTCAGTGGGACCCCTATGAAGTCGAGCTCTGTCCCGCTCGGCTTTTCAGCCGTTCACACGGCCGGTCATGTTCGACACTTCGGCCACCTATGTGGATGTCAAGGTCTTCAATGGCGAGCAGGTCCGGTTCCACCGGGTGTTCAGAGTTCAGAGAATACCGGTCGGACTTTGACCTCTCGGTCCAGCAGCAGTTCTGCGACGAGGTGTTGATCCGCTCGGCAAATGAGGGATGGTTCCGACCCACGGTCGTGATCTCCGTCTTCGTTGGATGGAAGGTCTCCGTGACTTCGTTCGAGGTCGGAGCGAGGGTCTACTCGATCGGGCCCCGCCAACAACCGGGTCGACCCGACCTGAAGTGTGGGCGAACGTCTGTGCCGGGGACGTGGCTGATCAAAACCATCCAGGCGTCAACAACGCGCCCGTGTAGAAGGCCCCTGCCTGGTCGCGGGGCTTGTTTTGCGGCCAATCGCATGCCGTCCGAAAACCGGGCTCAGGGGCAATCAACCCCTCTTTGCACTGCCTGTGATCGCAGAATGGAGATCTGCCATTTTGCCGGGGTGTGCCATGGGTCACACTTCCGGCTCATCGTGCCCGGCCTACAGCTCAGCCGGCGGATCCTGCGACAGCTCCGGAATATCGCGATGTTGTAGCTCAGCCAGTCCAGCTCGCTGCCGAAGCGGGGCCAAAAAGGGATCCAGAGGCCTCGTGGTGGACGACTGGTCCTGTCGGTTCACCTCGACTGCTCGTACCTGATAATGCCGCGGTCGAGGTCAGGTACACTGTGACATTTTCGGCCCGTCGGCCCAAGCCCAAGGCGAAGCCGGCTGCTGATCCTCAGCGTTCGTCTTTTCTGAGTGTGGAAAGAGCCGATCCCGCTCCGCTCGGTGGTCTGCGGCCCAAGCCCAGGGCCCCAGGCTTTATCTGCCCTTCGGCGCGATGCCGTTCTTGAAGAGCCGATCGAAGTTGCCTCGGATTCGCCTACAGATCCGGGGGACTTTTAGTTCCTCGTCGCTTTTCAACTCGCGGGGAACATCTCGTCTGATGTTTTCGTTCGGATCTGGGTAAAGCGATCGCCAGCTAGCTGGTGCCCGCCTCCGGTGATTCAGAAATGTTCGAGTTTTGATCTGTGGCAGACTCGCACGTTGCAGTCCCACAACAAGTCTGTGTGCGATCGTTGGCTGTTCAGCGAGTTCTCGAGCGGTGAAGAGCTGCATATTACATATATATATATACATATATATATAAGTATATGTCATATATATATACGTATATATATATACATATATACATATATACATATATACATATATATATATACATGCACGCATGATATACATACACATGGGTAGATAAATAGATAGACAGATAGATAGATAGGTAGATAGGTAGATAGGTAGACAGATAGGTAGATAGATAAACAGGTAGAAGGGTAGGTAGGTAGGTAGGTAGGTAGGTAGGTAGGTAGGTAGATCAATAGATTGGGTAAACAGACAGAACACCACATATATGTGTATACGACTGTGTGTTTTCTAGCTTATGTTCGGGCCTCATTTTTGGGTACCAATGCGCATTTCCACTGCTGTTCTTGTCTGTCATGTTGAGCCTCCATCTGCCACCGTTGATCATTGCCGTGGGCGATAGGGTTCGCTCAATTACGCTTCCATTTTATGAAACTGTATAGTATACAAAATTTAATTTGGTGATGATGTCGATGATGGGTTACTTTCGAATCCTGAAAAACGAGCTGCCGCATCATGGCGAGGCACTTCGCGCGCTCCGCTGTCGCGCTGGCCATGCGCTGGAACTCGCCGCTGGGCCGAAGTTGAGATCCGCACCTGCCCTGTAGATAAAGCAAAGTGCAGGTCAGCTGCGACATCGGCACGCAGCTCTGTGACAGGCTCTGCATGTGGAGCATTAAAAGCTTCGAAAAAGACATCCAAATCAACCCAGTCAAGGGTTTCATTCTGGCATGGCAGGAGGATTAGCAAAAATGCAGGATAATGCAATTTGTCTCGGAAGCCCTTTCAGACAGATGTTGATGACTATGCAAGCTAACTATTCAGATATGAGGTTTTGATGTAAGCCCCAGTCTCATGCTCTTTGGATCTATTTTCAACGTTATGCAGGGAGTGGAGATAGTGGGTGAGAACTAACCAGGAGGTTGACACAAGGAGTTTGTCACGTGGCAGGTGTCAACGGCGCATCGACTGCAGCTTCACATACCGCTGCAGGAGCAGTCCATTTGGAACTCAAACAGGGGCTGTCGGGCTCTCTCTAATTTTCAATAGCAGACGCCAGGTGCTACTCTTGTTGCACACATTGCTCGACAGCACCTGCATCATGGCTCCTCAGATGCATGATCCTGGTGCTTCCGCAGCTCACTGGCTCGGGGTTTCAACGGCCCCTTGTGAGCAGACCAGTCTGAGCGGGGCCAGGGACAGCGCACAGAATGGCGAAGGTTGCTGTCATCGTCGGGGCAGCGTCCAAACATGACAAGGCCGGAGGTACCACACAGTACTTTCGACGGTCTCGGTCTTGTGGACAACATGTGGTGCAGCCCTGGTGAATTTTCACGACCCAAACATGCTTTGGGTGAGTTGCGCTGTTGCCTCTAGAAGGTTAAGGTTCGGGGCGCGAGGGGCGGGCTCGCTGCCTTGTAGTGCTTGTCGCAAGCCCCGCGAAGCGATAGTAAACTTGATGCATACTAGCAGTTTCTAGCAGCGAGATCCAACACTTCCGCAATTTGCAGAGCGTAGATCGCAGCTCCAGCATGCGTTTGCCGCAGGACGGCACGGACACGGAGCTGCCACCGGCAAGTCGTTGGGGCTTGGGAGGCGCCCTCTGCCTTCGCTTCGCAAAGGCCATCTCAGGGGCCGAGGTCTCTAAGCATCCGGACGGCTTCTTTGCAAGCTTCGGCAGTTGTTTCGTCAGATGATGTTTCAGCGTTCAGAGCGGAACTCCCCTTCAAAACGAAGCATAGAAAAGCAACTCACAGACTCACAGGAAGCCAGACCAAACTGAAAGGCAAGCACGTCTTATGACTCCTAGCAAGGAATCTTGCTGCTGTAACGTAATGCGTCACGCATGGCCTTCGTCCGCTGTCCTTCAGTCTCGAAAGGGCGGCTTCCATGTTGCCCTTCTCGGGCGCCGAGTGCCTATCCTCGAAGGGGTTGCCAAAGAGGCGTGGCTGGACGTTTTCAGCTTTCCAAGAAGCCTTGGGATGGAGGGCTGTTTAGCAAGTTCACATTGGGACTGGACAGTTTTTAATGTCCCTCTTTTAAGCTGCCTCGAGCGGGACCTCACTGCTTTCGGAGGTGCAAGCTGTTGGCGGCACAGCAACCTGCATCCAATGCGATGTGGAGGATGGGCAGGGCATGGAACCTCTCTTCGCTCCGATGAAGCCGTAATCGCACGCGCAATGGAAGATGGACCAGGATGAATTACACATGCTCCTGCACGCGAGAGGACAATGCTAGCGTGAAGGGCGCCTTCGATTCGGCGAAATCGCTCGGCACAGTGGAAGTAGAGCCTCTGCAGCCAACAACACAAACTTCTTCAAGCTTTGCATGAGTCCAGAGCGCTATCAAGCCGGTCGGGTAGTATATGTATATGTTTGTGTATGCATGCATGCATGCGTGCATGCATGCATGTATGTGTGTATGCATGTGTGTATGTATGTGTGTATGTAGGTATGTATGTATGTATGTATGTATGTGTGTATGTATGTAGGTATGTAGGTATGTACGTATGTATGTACGCATGTATGTAGGGTATGTAGGTATGTAGGTATGTAGGTAGGTAGGTATGTATGTATGTATGTATGTATGTCTGTCTGTCTGTGTGTGTATGTGTGTATGTGTATGCGTATGTGTGTGTGTGTGTGTCTGGTGTGTATGTGCGTGCATGTGTGTGTGTGTATGTGTATGTGTATGTGTATGTACAAATACAAAATAAATCTAAATATAAATAATTAAATATATATATATATATGAGTTTTACGACTCGCTGGCATCTCACTGAGGTGATCTACAACGTGGCACCCCCTTTCCCTCCCGGCTGCGACTTCACTAACCTACCTATGGCCGAGGACAGGTCCGATCTTTTGATTGCAATGGGAGCGACTGTGAGAATATGTGTCGCTTCACCCCCTCCACGTCTTCAAGTGCTGACTTCTCAGCCGTCCTGTAGGTGGGCCTCAAATTCAAACCGTCCCGAACGCCGCTGAGTCGGCGTCTGTCGTCAATATGTCTTGATTTAATTACGACATGCCGCACATTTCACGTCGACTTCTACAGCTCTAGGGTTTGTTTACACCTTTAGCCTTTAGCACTTCTCTTGTCTTTGCCGCGCATCCGGCCTTTGTCGTCTTTATGTGTCCTGTAGGCCCAGGACTGGTTTGACAAGGAGGGTGGGTCGCCCCAAATCTGACTCAATTGCTGGAGTATAAGCAAATAGCAGGTCCCATAGCCATGTTTGACCCCGACAATGATGCCCATCTCCAAATTGTCGGGCCCTTCAAAGGCTAGATCCTTTTAAGTTCCAGCTGATGGCACACCAAGGCTTTCAGCCTCTCCGGGTATTACGCGAGGTAATCTCACCATAATTGACGTGGTGCTGTTGTGTTGAACTGCATGTTTGTACATGCTTCTTGGCTTGTATTGATCAAAGTACATCAAAGTACCGGGTTCTGTTGGGAGCTCAGTGCGCTCGCTAGAAACATACGTCCTGGACGAGGACTTAGTACGGTAGATTTGGCATGTCAGGAGATCTGAAGTCCCTGCCACAGTTCTCAGCATTCTAAATTCTGAAGCGCAGGCCGTAGACCCGGAATACTTCACGAAAGCTTTCAACATTGGCGTCAGTGGATGTGCACCTGGGTTTGACAACGATGCAGTGCGGCGGTGCAGCCTTCAAGCTCGACTGGCCCATATTCACTTAAGACTCTGGCTGTAGCCACCAAGGTCCGATGCATCCGTGAGATTGCGCCGGATATGATGGAGTGCCCGCCTTGGACCGCCCCATTGGGGTAATCACAAGACATCATATCATTCATCAATTTAATTACAAACTGTGGCCATTGATTTCCAAACAAAGACGGTGCTAGGGTACGTATTGGGCACAGTGGCCAGATTGTAACTTTAGATATGTATAGTGGCCGACCCCCAAAACACTGCGGATTTTCCCCAACCTAAGTGTGATTTATCACTGACTTGTGAACACATACACCTTGATTGCTTGTTACGTCTCGCCTCGCCGCCTGCCATGCCTGCCAGCCATGCCGCTGCCACGCCTTTGCATGCCACGCCTGCCGCGATCTATCGGAATGCCTCCCCGCCGCAAGTGCCGCCCTTGCCTAGCGCTGCCGCGATAACAGGCAACGCTCACCATTCGCAGCCTCCTGCTTTTGCTGCCGATCGTGCTTTGCCTGCTTTGCCGGGCTTTTCTGCGAGTGCTGCTTCTGCTGCTACTGCTCCTGCCTCGCGATTCACACCTTCTATACGACCGATGTCTATCACTCTTGTCCTCTGTCCCTTCGTGGGGATCCTGAGCGTTCACGACCCGGTTGTCCGATTGGGTTTGGCCTTATATGGCCATCCCGATGCCGGCGGATTCTGGGAACGCCACCGTGAGGAGGCACTCAAGTCCGTCGGTTTTTGGGCAGTGCCCGGATTGGAAAAGCGTGTTTCGACATCCCAAGCTCAGTCTGATGCTCGTAGTGTATGTTGATGATTTTTGTTCGATGGAGTCCCAAGGGCAACCTTGCTCAGGGATGCGAGCTTTTGGCGTGGTGCAAATGAAAGACGGAATTTCGTGGTAGTGATGGAACATGAAACGAATTTTCGGG